GTCAAATGGATTAACTTCTCTAGACAAATATCCTACTGATGAGGATGTGATTTCAGGTTCAAACGAGAAAAAAAGGGGGAATAGAGAAGCAATGTTTAGGGGAAAACCTGTGTCATTGTTACCAAATACATTGTAATACGCAGAAGTATCGTTTCCCAAACTCAAGCATAATAGCAAGTTAACAACTAGTGAAGAGATCAGCTAATTTGCAAGTCAAAGCTGTATATCCATTGATGGAAACTTAGGTTCTACCTACTGGGCAGCAAAAGAAGTACCTACTTTATAGTTTCTACTTCATAGTCAAATTAACCATTTCAGTTTGCATTACTTGTGAAAAACATGACCTAAGTGTTTGGTACTCAAGGAACTTTATTTTAGGAGTGATAGCATGTATTCTGGCATCACAATTGTTGAAGCTAATCCTAGCGTCAACATCCACCCTGAACAAATGGAAAGATAAAATGAATGAATCATTCAGAAAGAACTCCAGATTTAGTAGAAAAAAATAGCAAATTATGGTCATTTCAGTCATAGAATAAATTTTGTTTCCTAAGAGAGTTTGAAATTCTCCTCTTTCAGTTTGAAAAGTGATTTGTCTGTAAAGCCAGAATATATGGTTTTACTTACAGAAACATATTCAGTTGATATAAGACCTTCGAAGTTCTTCAACTGAGGTGCGATCATCCTGCAATTGTGACTCTTTTCTTTCTAGATCAACTCAGGAGTACAAAACTACACAAAAAGTTCCTTAAAAGTGTGGAATGATGAAACTAATTTCTAACCAGACAAGATTGAAGAAAACGATGAAAAGGATTTTAGCTACACTTGAGTGACATCAAAAAGATATATAGCTTACTTATTCTTTATGTCTGCCTCCCTTCTACCAAGCCTTGGAGTATCAGCTGTAAGAATAATAGCCCCAAATCCATTCTTCTCAGCTCTATGTACCATAAGTGCTGTTATATCCCTTCTTTTGTAAACCTATTGACAAATGAAATGTAACATTCTGTTTCAATACATAAAAACCAGTAAAGATACATGGAGATCATGATAGTTGAGAAGAAATTTTACGTATATTTGGAAAAAGCGAACAGCATTGCAGCTGGAAGCAACCTCCTCCACTGTGCAGGTTGACATGTATGACAGTCCCTATAACCAAGAGAACTCAGTATCCACACGCCAGAATTTGAAATTGATCCGCTTCGGAAAAATATTACTCCTCTGTTTTAATTTGTTTTAATTTGTTTGCCTGGTTTTGACTTGACACGAAGTTTAAGAAAATAGAAAAGACTCTTGAATCTTGTGGTCTTAAACTAAAGATATGTGGAATTTACCAAAATGCCCTTTAATCTTGTAGCGGTATTTTTTTTTTTTGAAATGGACTAAACGGAAAACAAGACAAACATGGAGGGAGTACCATAATAACATCACATGCTGCAGCTCCTCTCGCTGTTGCAACTTCTCCTGGCATAAATACAACAGTTTGATGGAATCAGAGCTACATTGTATGTTCAGCTAAGCGACTAGGGTGCTAATTGATTTAATACAAACCTTCAAGATGTGCCAATTTATGCATGGCCGTTGGGGCAATCATAATAGGAGCTGACGTCTTGTGACCTAGAATAGTAGTTGACATATCTATCTTGCTCACATCAACAAGTATTCTAGGCCGAATACTGAGTTTTTGAGAAGTTAGTGATAGAAACATGTCTGTGGCTAAATCAACAGCGAGAAATTACAAACTTACATGATTCTACGAAATGATTCTACATTTTCTTTAAGGGTGTGTTGGTCCTCAGCTCCTCCAGTATAGTAGTCGTAGTACATTTTCGGAAGGGCATGCCTAGCAAGCTCTTGGAATTCATTCACGTTAACTGGCTCCCCTGCCATTTAGCTTGCACCTGCAAAACACGAGCACTCACATGTTGCATTTCTCGCATTGTAGATTTTTGATCTTGTCTGTCTATTCAAGTGTCAAAACAGGGTCTTATACTTAGAGATGGATCCAGAATATTGCGTTTATGGGTTCTGAATTTTAGAAGTTTTTGCATACTAGGTGAATTTCTTAAGTTAACTACTAAAGCTACTAGGTCCAACCAAAACCGTAATTAGACTCTAGCTCTGCCCCTGCTTATACAACTAGTATGAATCAAGAGACTCAGAAAAATGTCAACCTTTCCGTCCTAAAATAACCAGCTTTAGGTCAATCTAACTGTTTGAGCTATTACTTATTAGTGAGGTCAGAGTTTTCATATACATTGATCAAAAAATGTACTCCCTTTCATTTCAATTTATTTGCCTCACTCTTTAGTTCCCAACTTCCCATATGACATGTTCAAGACACGAGATTAATGAGCATTTTGACACATTTCACGTACCTTTAATTCAACATCATTAGATCAAAAAGTTGTACTCCCCCTGTCCCATGACTCACTTTCTTCTTTAGTCGGTATAAAAAAAAAGTGTTACTTTTTTTCTTAAGCTTGGTGGCAAGTCTAACTAACACATATAAAATGAGACGGATGAAGTATTTAGTTTCTTAAACTCCGTATTAAGTCAAAACTAGACAAACAAATCGAAACAAGGAGTAACAAATTAATCAATCAAATTTGTTTAGGTATAGAACAAATCCTTTGTAACAAGGAAGATAAATCCAAGATGAAGGAGCAGCAATAAGTAAGAACAATTTATAATTCAGATTCAAACTTGACATCATGTGAAAACGGATCAAATTATTGAAGAAAGCTTCAGAAATTAAAAAGAAAGAAAAAAGAGGATTTTTCTGAGTACCTGCAAAGTACAAAGAAGAGTTGCGCACTTCTCCACTCCTCCCTCTCTTCTTCGTGGTAGTTGAACTTCGACAAAAGTTGCTTTGCATAAATTTTAACACTAGGAAGATTTCACCTTTTTTTCTTTTAATAAATTAAGGTACAGAAGAAGGGGATTTCCAAGTGGCAATTGAACTACCAACAAGGTACCGACCGGGTTGTGGTGCAGTGATGAAACTGTTTCATCCTTAATCAGAAGTCTCGAGTTCGAGCCTTGAGTATGGACAAAATTCTGTTGGAAGCACTTTCAAATGGACTCTGCACAGCGCGATCTGAATTTAGTCAGAGCTTCCATGTAGACTCTAAAACCGGATGGCAAACTAAAAAAAAAAAAAAACTACCAACAAGGTAAAAATTTAAATAACAGCAACCAACGTGAAAATTTACATACTCGAACTGCTAAATTTTTGAACGGTGCTATTCAGTTAAGAAAACTGTTTTTTCCTTAATACAACTTGTTAATTGTTTAGCAATATCCTAATCTATAGCTTGGAAGCATGTATTGCCGGAGACTTTTGGCTTTACTTTCCTTTTTAATTCATTTTAATTAAATAATTATGTCTTTTTTTTATAGTTATTTAATATTTACTTTATCTATGACATATTTAGAAACATTTTAATATATTTTATATATTTTTAGTTTAAGATAATAAAGTTTAAAGGTTTTTTTCTTCTTAAATTTCATGTCAAGTTAAAATAAAAAAAATAAATTAATATGAAGGGAGTAATTCTTATTTTGATTTTTAAAATTTTTAGATACAAAAAGCCTAGTGTGAGAAATATGAAGTTTTACATTCAAATTCAAATTTAGTGGATGTGGAATTAGTTAATGTGTGTGTAAGCTAATCAGAATCCACGAGTCAGCTAACAATAAGAACTAAAATGTTAAAGAATTTTATTTGAACGATACAAAACTGTGATTTTAGAAAACAAAGAGTAAATTTACTAGGAGATCAAATTGTATCAATCTAACATGACTAAATGAATAATGGGGTGATATTATGTAATAATCAATTATAGATAATCAAAATACGATTATGTGTAAATATGTTTAAATATATTCCCTATGTTTATTTTTACTTGTCACACTCATTAAGAAAATAATTATTGATACATGTATTTTATCAATCTATCCCTATTAAATGATGTTTAATATTAAGTCTTGGAAAATGATTTGGAGAATAAGTATTTAATGGTGAGGGTAAAACATGAAAAAATAATAATTGTCTTTTCTTGATATGTCAAAAGTGACAAGTAAAAATGAAAATTTATTTTAAGAATAAGTGACAAGTAAAAGTGTATAAAAACTAAATATGTGTTGACAACGTATTTCTATTAATGAAGGCAACAAGATATTAAATAGAATTACATGGAAAATAATAAGACTCCTAAACTAACTGAATTAAAGTAATCTAAATAAATAATTACTTCTGAACTAACTAATGCAATTCTAATACGACCAAACTACTGATGTCTGAACTAACTCGTGATGTTCTAATAAAGTGAAGGCGTGACCTTTAATAGCGGATATTGAATTTAATGAATATCCATATTTTTCAATTCTTTTGCGTGTATAGTTGTTCTTTTTGCTTCAAGTCACCCTTAGGACAGGTTGGTCCAGAATCTATACAGTTGACATTTTTAGGTCCGAGGTGTTAAAATTTTAGCTTGATTTTCGTATTATATTCTAGTTTTACTTTTTTTTAAAAAGAAAGTTAAAATATTATCATAACTATTTATATTTTTCGAAAGAAAAATATAATTTTCTTTCATATTTTATTATTTTTTTCTCAAATAAAATGTTTGGAACTCTATAAATTGAACGCGCCTCTTCTCAGCCTCCACAATGTAATCATTAATTTTTTTTATTTATGGAGAGATTTTCTCTCTATAGTTTATTCTATTTGAAATATATATGCCAATTGACAAATCATATAATAATATTATATTTTTAGTATAATTTTATGTTGATTTATTGTCTCTATGATTTATATTCGTAAGTATCCATATGACGCCCTAATTTTTTCGAACCCAACACAAAGTGTCTTGTGCAATAACGGCAAAATCATAAATTTCACTACGATAAAATGTAACTTTTGACATTTATTTTTTAATATACACGATATAATTTTCTGACGAGACCATTCATTTGGAAAGGAACAGATGATTAAACTACATCCTACCTAGGAACCTTTCTTTCTCTGTCTTAACATAATTTCTGGTAATGTCAGCCACAGTGCAGCAGCCAGCAAGAGCCATAGTCTGTTCCAATTCATTCTTGAGCATTTCAATAACTTGTTTTACCCCAGATTCTCCCTTAGCGGCCAGACCATAGATAACCGGTCGACCAATCTGTAGGAATATATAAAAAAAATAAAATTACGTTGTCCGTGTATATAACTTAAATTCATTTCTTTAAATCATTAAGTTTACCAGAACAGCTTTTGCGCCGAGTGCTAGAGCCTTGAATATGTCTGTTCCTCGTCTAATTCCTCCCTCAATAAGAACTGGAACTTTACCTTGAACTACATGGACCACCTAATTTAGGAGATTTCAAGTTAATTGTTCTCAAATTTTTAAGATTCAAAATAACACATTTCAACTTCAAAATGAGCTTGTATTTCAGATCTGAAATTTAAGGGAATCACCTCTTCAAGAACAGAAACAGTAGCTGGAGTGTAATCCAGCTGCCGAGCTCCATGGTTAGAGACGATAATTCCTGCAACTCCTGCTTCAATTGCTTTCATTGCTGCAAAAATATTCAGTGTTTTCCATCAAAGAGAGAAATTATTGGAATCATGTACAATGAGATATGGAGCTGATTAGAGTTTCTGTTGACTTGAGCTAAGGTTTATGATAAATATTATACCATCTTCACTCGTGAGAATGCCTTTTATCAGGATTGGCAACTTGGTAACTGACTTTAACCATGCTATTTCCTGCAAATTTCATCATATGATCTTTCTCATGTGATATTAAGTAACGCAATTCATCTATTTAACTTTCAAATCATTTACCTTCCAGAAAAACGAACGATCAAGAGTTTCTACAGCGCAAGCTTTTTCCTGCAGAATTTTATTAGTAAGCATGGTGTACACTATTTCAAGTTTCGCCTTTCAGCATAACATGTAATTTGTCTAATACTCCTATTTGCTTTTAGTAAAAAGCCAGAATATTTACTTACAGAGGCAAATTTAGTTGATAGAAGACCTTCAAAGTTCCTCAATTGAGGTGCGATCATCCTGCATTAATTCTCTTAGTAGATCAACACAAGATTACCAAAATTATAAAATTTCTCAAGTACTGAATGATTAAACCAACTACTTCCGGATAAGAATGAAGATGAATCATGGAAAGGATTATAGCTAGACTTGAATGACAACAATTGTATATACAACTTACTTATTTGTTATATCAGCCTTCCTTCTACCAAGCGCTGGAGTATCAGTAGTGAGAATTATAGCCCTGAACCCATTACTCTCAGCTTGACGTACCATATGTTCTGTTATCTCTCTCTTGAGAGCCTTCTGACAAAGAATAAACTATAAATCTCTATTTGTTGCAAAACATGAAAAATCAGTATTTACGTATGAAGATAATGAGAGTTGGGAATAATATCTTACAAAAGTCTGAATGAAGCGAACAACCTTGCACGTAAATGACAATCCCTGTATCCAAGAGAATTTAGCATCCAGACACCAGAATTCGATAAAATCTGTTTTTTTTTTTCCAGAAAATATTACCGCGATAACATCACATGATGCAGCGCCTCTAGCTGTTGCGATTTCTCCTGGCATAAATATAACAGGTTTCTAGAATCAGTTAAACATAATTAGCGATTAAGGAGATACTCCCCGGTTTCAATATGTTTCTCTTACTTTCCTTTTTAGTTCCTCTTTCCTTCTTTTGGGAACTCTTTAATTCTAACTTTCCACATGACATGTTTAAAACCACAAGATTAAAGATCTTTTGGTACATTCTACATATCTTTAGTTTAAGATCACAAGATACAAAAATCTTCTTTACTTTCTTAAATGTTGTGTCAAGTCAAAACCAGACAAATAAATTGAAATGAATGGAGTAATTGATTTAGTACAACCTTCAGGGTGTGCAAATTTATGCATCATAGTTGGGGCAATCATAATAGGAGCTGATGTCTTGTGACCAAGTATAACAGTTGACATGTCTATTCTGCTCACATCAACAAGTATTCTTGGACGGATTCTGAGTTTTTTGAAAATTAGTTAATAGTGATAGATATCTGTCCATGGCCAATTCAAGAGCAAGAAATTACAAACTTACATGATTCTACGAAATGCTTCGATGTTTTCTTCGAGTGTGTACTGGTCCTCAGATCCTCCAGCAAAGAAGTCGTAGTACATATTTGGAAGAGCTTGCCTAGCTAGCTCTTCAAATTCATTCACATTAACTGGTTCACCTGCCATTTAGCCTGCACACACGAGCATTCATATGTTAAATTGTTCTTGTTGTAGAATTTTGGTCTTGTTTTGAGGGAAGAATTTGATGTTTTGAAGTATGACTATTAGTACCCGTAGGATACAGATAGTAGTTCACACTTCCAGTATCTCCACCTTCTTGTTTGTTATAATTTAGAAGCTCATAGATCAAATTAGCTGATAGCTGTAGTTGAACTTAGAACTTTTGAATGCAGGGTCCATACTCACATATAGGCATAAGGGCTAAGGCTATTTCCCAAAAGTCCTTTTTTTTAGAACTTAGAAGCTCAATTAGCTCATAGCTGTGCTGAATTTAGAGATAGCCTTTTAAATGCAGGGTCCATTCGGCTATATACCTACAGCTTCTAAGTTATAAAACAAGAAGGTGGAGAAGCTGGAGAACTGAACTCCTTTCTGTATCCTACAGGTACTAAATATTTTTGCCTCAAAACCTCCGATTCTGCTCTCAAAAGAACCAAAATTCTACAACCAGAGTGATTTAACATACAAATGCTTGTGTTTGCAGGCTAATAAATGGCAGGTGAACCAGTTAATGTGAATGAATTTGAAGAGCTAGCTAGGAAAGTTCTTCCAAAGATATACTATGACTTCTTTTCTGGAGGAGCTGAGGACCAGTATACACTCAAAGAAAATATTGAAGCATTTCGTAGAATCACGTAAGTTTGTAACTTCTTGCTCTTGATTAGGCAATAGAGATCACAGCACTAACCTTTCAGAAACTCAGTATCCGGCCAAGAATACTTGTTGATGTGAGCAAAATAGACATGTCAACTATTATACTTGGTCACAGGACATCAGCTCCAATTATAGTTGCCCCAACTTCGTCGCATCAATTGGCACATCCTGAAGGTTTGGATAAAATCAATTAGTAAAAACTAGTCTGTTAGCATAAGGTACCCCCACCGTGTAGTTCTTACTCCAAAAAGCTGTTGTATTTATGCCAGGAGAAGTTGCAACAGCTAGAGGTGCTGCAGCATGTAATGTTATCATGGTAATAGTTTTAGTTTGGTCAAAAACATACCTAAAGTATCTACTTTGAGTTTCATACTTGAACTATCAGGTGTGCAAGTTTCCTACCTGAACTATTACCAACTATTTATCAAACAACAATTCAATTATCAGGTAGGAATATGGAACATTTGATAGTTGAGGTATCATTGGATACATAGTTGGTGATAGTTTAAGTAGGAAACTTGTACACATGATATTTCAGTTATGAAACTCAAAAAACCAGGATACTTTTAGCTATAATATTTTTGACCCTTCCCTCTAATATTTTCTAAAAAAACAGATCAAGCTCGAATTCTGGTATGTGGATGCTAAATTCTCTTGGATGTAGGGAGTGGCATTTACGTCAACATGCACAATGGAGGAGGTTGCTTCAAGCTGCAAGGCTGTTCGCTTCATTCAGACTTTCGTAACTTATTACCCCCAACTCTCACATCCTGGTACATATTTACTGATTTTTGTGTTCTATAACAGATAGGTAATTTTTTTTTCTTTGTAAATAGGCTTTCAAGAGAGAGATAACAGCAAATATGGTAGAGAGAGCTGAACGCAATGGATTCAGGGCAATAATTCTCACTGTTGATACTCCCAGACTAGGTAGAAAGGAGGCAGATATAAAGAATATGTAAGTTGTATATACAATTGTTATCATTCAAGTCTAGCTAAAATATTTTTCATGATTCATCTTCATTCTAATTCGGAATTATCGGTTTCATCATTCAGTACTTGAATTTTTTTTTTTATATAATTTTGGTAATCTATGTTGATAAAGAGAATTAATGCAGGATGATTGCACCTCCTTTCAAGAACTTTGAAGGTCTTATATCAACTGAAGTTGTTTCTGTAAGTAAAAGCTATTATTAGACAAATTACATGTCAAGTTGAAAGTCAAAACTTGAAACTCCTTAACGAAATTATCTTACTTTGCAGAATTACAATGTCTCAAATTAGCTAGTTCCTCCTACTATTAGCATTGGTTTTCTCTTTTATTTAGTTAAATGACACAATTCGCCATCGATATATATACTTGAAAAATAGTGTACACTAGGCTTACTAATCCACAGATAAATTTCTGCAGGACAAAGGCTCAAATGTTGAAGCTTATGCTGCAGAAACTCTTGATCCTTCGTTTTGCTGGAAGGTACATAATTTAAAAGTTAAATATATGTGTTCCTTAATACCACATGAGATGATCATATGATGAAATACAGTCTTGGTCCTTGAATTCAAATTTTATTGAGGCTGTCAACATTTGTTAAAATATGTAAAATTGACGAGCTTAAAAGTACATTAGGGAAGGATCATATCTAGTTTCATAGTCTTCTGTAATCCTCACAATCTCCAAAAACTTTGCAGGATATAGCATGGTTAAAATCAATTACCAAGTTGCCAATTCTGATTAAGGGTGTTCTCACTGGTGAAGATGGTAATAATTTTTATCACTGAACCTTAGCTTAAGTCAACAGAAACTCTAATCAGCTCCATATGATTTAACATATATATACTATAAACTTGATTTTGCGACTAAGTCTCACCAATTGAACATTTCTTCCAAAGAATTTTTTCATACTATTCTTTGCAGCAACCAAAGCAATTGAAGCAGGAGTTGCAGGAATAATCGTCTCTAACCATGGAGCTCGGCAGCTGGATTACACTCCAGCTACTATTTCTGTTCTTGAAGAGGTGATTTTCTTCCTTACATGTTTGATGTCCTCTTTTTAGCATGTATATTGGCTTCCATATATTCTTTCCTGAATGTCCAAATGGTTTCAGGTGGTCCATGCTATTCAAGGTAAAATTCCAGTTCTTCTTGATGGAGGAATTAGGCGAGGAACAGACATATTCAAGGCATTAGCACTAGGCGCAAAAGCTGTTCTGGTGAACTTAATGATTTACAGAAATGCATTTAACTTATATACTCTAAGAGTGTATTGAATTTAACTTAACATTTACACTCTACAGATTGGTCGACCAGTCATCTATGGTCTGGCTGCTAAGGGGGAGACCGGGGTAAAGCAAGTTATAGAAATGCTCAAGAATGAATTGGAGCAGACCATGGCTCTTGCTGGCTGCTGCACTGTGGATGACATTACCAGAAGCCATGTTTTTACAGAGACAGAAAGGTTCCTATGTAGGATGTAGTTTAATCCTATGTTCCTCTAAATAAACGGCTTATTAGCCCCAAACTCTACAATCATGTCACATCTTGCTTTCTAATAATCCTCTGTGTAGTGGCATTTCTGCTCCTCTCCAATAACTAAATCCTTGTATAGGATTGTGCTAATTTCCTTATGGTACCTGCAGTGGCGTAGCCACATACAATAAAGGTTCATTTGTTGAACACCTTTCATCGAAAAATTATACTTAACTGTATACATCAAAAGTTATATTCTATACATAAATATTAAATTTTAGTGAAATTTATGTCTTCGTAATTAGGTACCTTCACTTTCCGGTGTGAGACACTTCATATTTTAAAATGTCAACTATATAGATTCTGGACCAACCACTCCCTCTGGTTGACACTGAAGGAAAGTAGAACACTATACACGCAAAGGCATTGAAATATATGCACCTATTTTAGATATATATAAAACTCAATATCCGCTATGAATGACCACACTAAACCAAGAGGGGCATGGCAAGTGTTTGCTCATAGTCTTGAACTAACTTTTGTGGTTGAGTTAATCAAAAGCTCATTTCTTTATTAGACTTCACCCTGTGTTACACCAGGGCCAATATCTCATGAAATTAATCTTCTCTTGTACTCAAATCTTGTTCTGCATCATGTGTGGCAAGATTTGAATTGCTTTCCTGCAGTAATTTTGTAATAAAACTAGACTATTGTAATCCATTTGAATATCTTAATATCTGAAATCGATGCTTTAAATAGAAATATTGCAATTGAACAACATTACAAGCAAGATGTGACACAATTGTAGAGTTGGGGCTAGGCCATTTTGTTTAAGGAACAGAGATTACATCCTACAAAGGAACCTCTCTTTCTCTGTCTTAACATGGCTTCTCGTAATATCATCCACAGTGCAGCAGCCAGCAAGAGCCATGGTCAGCTCAAGTTCATTCTTTAGCATTTCAATAACTTGCTTTACTCCAGATTCTCCCTTAGCAGCCAGGCCATAGATAACTGGTCGACCAATCTGCACAAATATACAAAAAATATTATTAAGACAATCAATGTATACAAAGTTAAATCCATTTCTTTAAATCATTAAGTTTACCATAACAGCTTTTGCCCCTAGTGCTAATGCCTTGAATATATCTGTTCCTCGCCTAATTCCTCCATCGAGAAGAACTGGAACTTTACCTTGAACAGCTTGGACCACCTGAAACCATTGAAAATTAAGGAGGGGCATATGGAAGTCAATGCACGAGCTAAGAAGATTCCAAATAACATATTTCAGCTTTCAATTCAAATGAGCTCGTAATTCAAACATGTGAGGAAGGAAATCACCTCTTCAAGAACAGAAATAGTAGCTGGAGAGTAATCTAGTTGTCGAGCTCCATGATTAGAGACGATAATTCCTACAACTCCTGCTTCAATTGCTTTCATTGCTGAGAAAAACAAATAGTATATGCCAGTCAAATTGTAGGAAAATCTGAGGTTTTCAACAGCTAAGGTTCAGTGATAATAATAGTACCATCTTCACCATTGAGAACACCCTTAATCAAAATTGGCAACTTAGTAATTGATTTTAGCCACGCTATATCCTGCAAAGTTTTCAGAGAGTGTGAGGATTACAGAATGATCATATTTGACTGAAACTCTATTTCTGCAATTTCACATATTTTAACATATTGTCGACACTCGAGAAATTTGAGTTCGTGTATCAAAGATTGTATTTAATCATATCTTCTAACGTGGTAAGTAATAAGGAACACACACATTTAACTTTTAAATCTTGTACCTTCCAGCAAAGCGACGGATCAAGAATTTCTTCAGCATATGCTGCAAGATTTGAGCCTTTGTCCTGCAGAATTTTGTAAGTGGATTAGTAAGCATAGTCTACACTGGTTTCAGGTTTTTTTTTTTTTTTTTTTTTTAATCAAAGCTGGACTCAGGGACCATTTATTAGAAACTAAAAAGGAAACAACCAGATCATAACATGATCTGGTCCAAAAACAATCTATTCTGTCCAAAAACAAAATACATAAATGAACAACCAAAGAAATGAAAAAAGAGTTGGTCGTCTTCAAGCTTGAGCTTCCATGGAGGATGAAGACGAGGTGCTGCCTTGGAGTGAAATCGAGCTGCCACAACCAGCTGCGTTCGGTTCGTTTCCGTCCCACTGAATCCACACAGCTCGAACAACTTAGGTAAGAATCGATCTACTCCCTAATTCGCTTTTGATGTTGTGAACGATCCTTGAGCCCCATTTCTAAGTTTTACCCTTTCCTGCAGATTGAGTCAGAAACCCTAACTAATACCACTGCATAGGCCAGGTAATTCTTATTAATTTTGCTGAAGATCGTTCCTTTAAGTACACTACTTCACTGATGTTTAGATTTATATATCTTGATAAACCCAATATGCTTTCCTTTTCTTTGTGTTTTCACCTGAAATACTATTGTTGCTTGCTGCATTGTGCATTAGTATCATTATCACTGTAGCAATATTTTCTGTTTTGCATTTTTCTGATTCTCAAGTTTGGGAATCCTTGGATGACTCCAATCTGCTCCATGGTCGGAAAAATCGACCTCTCCGATGATGGTATCAGTGAGATGAGGATAGAAGATAGTTCAAATGCCTCCAATATATAGACATAGATTGAAATGGATCCGAATTTGGACAAATTTCACTGAAGACACTCAAAAATTCTCTCAAGTGCCATGAAATAAGGTCCTTTGAAGACTTCTTCAACTCGGATTGATCTGATCTAAACCACAAAATGAAGTTGAATGAACAATGTTTTCTCCTCTTTCATCTTTGTGCACTGTTATACTTCGATTTAATTCATCCATGACCTTCTCTGCAGGCTGAGCCCCAAAGAGGCTGATACCACTGCATAAGAAGGCCACATATGAGTTCCATCTCTGCATAAACAATTACATCCACTTATGCAAGTATGCAGGTACTACCATCGCCTTTTGATATTTCTTTGTCATCCATGTCTGGTTGTTCTTGTTTGTCTCAATTCTGTTTGTGTATTGAAACCCGTGTTTTGGATGTTTCGAATTCTAAGATTGGGAGTTTGTGTTTTATCTAGTGGTTTCAGGTTAATATATCTATCACGAGTTGATTTCTTAGGGTCACTCAACTTATAGCTATTATCTAAGAATGTCACATTCTCTTTTAAAGAAAATTGGAATGAAGAAGAAAGTGACTTTCTGAGATAATAACTATTACTTGAGTGACTATCTGAGAAATCAACCTTATCTACTATAAATAGCAGAATTTTTTATGGTTTTACTTACAGAAACAACATCAGTTGATATAAGACCTTCAAAATTCCTCAGCCGAAATGATATCATCCTGCAATTCCCACTCTTAGTAGATTAACACAGTATTACTAAAAAGAAATTTTCTTTAAGTGCTAAAATGGTGAAACCGACTTATTCCAGATTAGTATGTAAAGAATTCAAGCATAAAAAGATCTATAACTTACTTATTCTTTATATCAGCCTCCCTTCTGCCAAGCCTTGGAGTATCAGCAGTGAGAATTATAGCCCTGAACCCGTTGCTCTCAGCTCGACGTACCATAAATTCTGTTACATCTCTCCTTTTGAAAACCTATTGACGAAGAATAAATTACCTATCTGATAACAGAACACATAATATATAACAATGATCAGAGTTTGGGATAATAAGAGTTACATATATTTGAAAGAAGCGAACAGCATTGCAGCTTGAAGCAACCTCCTCCACTGTGCATGTAGACATAAATGACAGTCCCTATATTCAAAAAAACTCAACATCTATGTTAAAACATATTATAATTAAGTAATAACAACGTAAGCTTTTCGATGAGGCGGTGATACAATATCAATAATCCACGAGTTAATTTCTCAAAAAGTCAATCAACTAATAGTATTATCTCAGAAAATCACTAATCTTCTTGATTTCAATTTTTCTTCAAGTGACTTATGAGATAATAATTAATTAGTTAATGATCATCTGAGAAATCATCTTAACGCTCCATACACCAGAACTGGAAACAGATATTTTACCATGATAACATTACATGCTGCAGCACCTCCAGCTGTTGCAACTTCTCCTGGCATAAATACAACAGCTTGTTGGAGTAAGAACTGCGTGGTGGGGGTACCTTAAGCTAAAAGACTAGTTTTTACTAACTGATTTTATCCAAACCTTCAGGATGTGCCAATTGATGCGCAGCAGAAGGGGCAAGTATAATTGGAGCTGACGTCTTGTGACCGAGTATAACAGTTGACATGTCTATTCTGCTCACATCAACTAGTATTCTTGGCTGAATACTGAGTTTCTGAAAGGTTAGTATTGCTACCATCTATTTTGCCAAATTAATCAAGAGCAAGAAATTACAAACTTACGTGATTCTATGAAATGCTTCGATATTTTCTTTGAGTGTGTACTCATCCTCAGCTCCTCCAGCAAAGAAGTCATAGTACATCTTTGGAAGAACTTTCCTAGCAAGCTCTTGAAATTCATTCACATTAACTGGTTCACCCGCCATTTTAGCCTGCACACACGAGTGTTCGTATGCTAAATTCATCTCATATAGTTGAACTTTGTATTCAATATATCCCTCAAGTTTGTTTAGGAATAAAAATCAATTAAGCTAAACAACTAATTACTCTAGAACACAAACTCAAGATCAAAGGATAGCAATATATAGGATCAGCTATATTGCTCAGACTCTTCAAAATTGTCAAGGGATGAGTGTCAGAAGCAAGTTTGGAGAGTGAGCAACATAGGGAAGAGTAACATGATAAGGAACTAAGCCATAATAATTTTCAGATTCAGATATCACATCATGTGATCGATTTGACGAGTAAACACTACCAAATCAACAAACAGCAAACACAAAAATTGTAAAAGCAAATGTTGAGATATTAGTAAAATAATTAATTAAAAGTAAAGGCGAATTGTCCTATGTTCAATTCTCACCGTCACCCAAAAGCAAAAACATATTTTCATTTTCCACAGGTAGGTACAGATCTATCTGAAGTTGATGTTACGGGTTTGGCAGAATCCAGTAGCTTTAGTGGTGCTAACATATCCAGTTAACTTAAACTAAAAATCCAGATCCAGTTGTCATTCATAAACTTAAAATTTTGAATCTGTCTATGTGTTGAACAAGTACATATGGAGAAAACAGAAGTTTAGATCAAAATTTAATTAAATTTTGGAAGTAAAAACATTGAATACCTGTTGTATAGAAAACAGAGAAGAGTTGAAGTTCACTGTTCAATTAGCTAATGGCTGTAGTTGAACTAGAGAATTATAGTTCACTGTAAATGATTAGCATGATTCAAGATTACAATAATCAGATAGTAGGAGGAATATCTAATTTAGGGAGAAAGTGGTAAGTAATAAAGTTTCCACTTAATACAATTGAAACTTACGTGTATAATTAAGATAGATACATATTTTGTATGATAATTGAATTACTTTGAGTCGAACGTTTTTAATATGAATATTATATTATGTGTTTAAATGCTTAACTAAAACATATTGTATTTCGAATGTATAAATAAAATTTTATAACAATTTAAGACCGATATATTAAGTCTAAAATATATGAAGCTCAATTTAATAAAAAGGGTTCAATTACAAAATTAGAAGGGAAAACTGAAGGGAGTGACCCTTTGTTTTTTTTTTTTTGAGAATAAGGGAGTGACCCTTTGTTTACTGTTTAAACCCAAAATGGCCCACTTTCTGCCTTTCTCTGAATTACCAAAAATGGCCATTTTGGGTTAAACAATTACCGAATGGTCATTTTTTTTGGTGTTCACTCTTAATTTTCTCTCTTCCAATTTTTTAAAATTTGATTTATTTATTTTTTTTAAAAAATAAAATTTGATTTACAATGTATCTGGTACTTGATAATTCCAAACCTTAATCAGTATGAATTTGGTTTATAGTTATGTATCTGAGACATAACTTATATGTTTGATACATAACGTATGTATCGTTGCTATGTATCAAGCGACGGAGCAATGCATCCGCGAGTTTTGAAAAATTTGAAGTTATTGTAATTTAGAAAACTTTCTAAATAAGATGTAATAGTACCTAAATTATTGAGTTTTGTGTACTTTATACTTTTTTTTTTTTATCGTGTGGTATATTTACGTAAGATACCCAAATCAAAGTGCATTTAATGGAAATTCCAACCAAAAAGGGCTAATGGGCCTCTTTCAGGCTTGGGGGCTTATCAGGATCACCGCATTCCTCAATCATATGAGCCCAAACGATCTGTTAAAGTACCGGCCCGTTTGGCCCAAAAATACTTGGATAAACTACATAATTAGACATACATAACTACTATATACCAAAAATATTACTCATAATACCACTTTTTAATAAATATACCATATATTTTAAAAAATTAAATCAGATACACAAATTTCTTAAATATGGAATTGAATAATTATCTTAAAATTTAAATCCCTTAATTAAAGGTGCTTTAACAATTCAATCTCCTCCCCAACAATATCTCTCCCCCCCCCACCCCACCCCTCACCGAATTTCACCCTCAATTCGAAAAAGAACTTCGGGAATGGCAAAACTTTGCGTTTTCATATAACCGCATTATGAATGTAATGTTGTGCACTATCTGCTTGCTTAGAGTGTGATTATAGCTTTGGTATAACATTTTAGAAGGCAAAGAGGCAATCACCCTTCTAAACAAAGATTTTTCTATACTTCTTCGTTGTTCTCTACTTTTTAGGCATTTCTTCTTCTCTGCAATTCTTCCAATTACTTGTTTCAGTTCAATTTACATTAAATACTTCCTCCTTACTTCGACGAGTCGTTGGACGCCGATGAAGACATGTGCAGGTTTTTACATTATTTATTTTTGTTGTTTCTCAACTATTTTAATGGTTGACTGTTCACAAAATTAAATGATTCTTGTTAAAGGTTAATTCAAATTAATAAATCGTGTATCTCATCTTTAAAAATTGATGGATACATGTATCTCGCCGTTAATGATTAAAACCAATGAAGAAAATGAAGAGGTTAACCCAAATTAATAAAAATTGATGGATACATGTATCTCATCATTAATGATTAAAACCAATAAAGAAAATGAAGAGGTTAACCCAAATTAATAAATCGTGTATCTCGGCTTGGATACATGTATCTTGTCATTAATGATTCAAGCTGATGAAGAAGAGATGAAGAGGTTAATCCAAATTAATAAATCGTGTATCTCGGCTTGGATACATGTATCTCGTCATTAATGATTCAAGCTGATGAAGAAGATGAAGATGTTAATCAAACCGAGAAACCAAACCCCAAAAAAAAATAAAAAATCAAAACAAATAAAATTTATCTTATTACAAACTGAATATCATTTTTTTAAAAATTGAAAAATTGAATGACATACCCTTATTTTTATTTTTTTTGAAATTTCAGGATAACCGCAATCACTATTCTGTGGTGAGCATTTTGTGCGCACTAGGTAACCACGCAAGGGATGTAAACCACACTAGGCAAACCCTATGCGACATACTCAACTCAAAAGACATTGAGGGAGATCGATCTCAGATCATCCGTGTGGATAACCACCCTCCAAACCAATTGAGCCATTCTTATTACTAGTGAACTCTTCAAAGGAATTTTCCGCAAAGATCTGAAAACAATCTTTTCAATAAGCACATGATAAAGCCCGGCACAGAATAAATTAATCGAAATGAGAATAGGACTTCACTTGTCGTTACGCAGGTAATGGCCGAGACATTATGCGCGGTTTAAAAGAATAAACCATTGCAAAAAACATCAAAATTCCTTTCATTTTTCTATCCTCATCATATTTACCTTTTCTCTCCTGGAACCCAAAGGTATTAGCAAATTAATCTTCGTGGTAAAGTGATAAGTAATCACTTATTGTATAAAATTACTTTTGATTGGAATTGCTTTACTCTTCGAAATAAGACTTCTCAGTAAGAATATGAAGTACTCGGGTCCAAACAAAATACCGAACATCATATGAAGTAGTCGGGTCCAAATCAAGTACCGAACACCGAGGAAATTTAGAGATACTGGGGCTAAGCATTTATGTGATGTGCTGCATCAAATTGACATTGGCAACTACCAAATAATTTGATTGAATTAGTCAAGGGTGCAAAGCAAAGAACAAATGTGAGTGTCTCTGCTCTGGGACTTTGCGGCTTATGCATTAACCACTCCTTTTCTAAATTCTAGGACTGTAGAGTGGGCCGACACTAGTAGTGAAGCTTGCGGGGCGGATCTATAGCCTATTTTTTTTTTGGCACCGTGAATTCATGATTCTTTTTATAAATAAAATATTTTAAATATATATATTTATAAAATTAATCTAATATTATCTACAGATACTTATTTATAAGAACTAAATAATGTATTTGGTTGAACGCTATGTTATTTAATTGAAGAAATAGGGATCAATTCACACTTTCTCCCCTCTTCTATTAAAAAATGGACGGTACAAATCTTAAAGATTCACTCGAATTTATTTTCTGATTATATAAAAGACGCTTCGTCATGAGAATTATTCATGTTTTTTGAAATAATTTTTCACTTTCTTATAAAATTGGTGTTTGTATTTATAAAAATTTCAAATTCAACTTGAAATTAGATTTTAATTTTGAAGAAGTATTCCAAATCTATTCTCCAACTTAATTTTCAGAATTCCAAATAAAGTATTATCTTTCTCCTTTTTGCAAAAAAGTATAATCAAATATGCAATGCAACTATACTTTTATAAATTTAAATATTTAAACTCTGGCCAAATGCCAACATAATTTTCAAATGGAGGGAGGTAGACAGGTGGTTGCTTACTATTGGAAATATTATTATTTATTAATTTATTTATTTATTAGGGTGCAGATTTGGGCCAAGCCCACGACGGATGGGACCTTCAAAGTCAACGCTTGGAGATTTGGAAGCGTAATTTTGAAATCACACGTAATTGTTTAACAATGCCTATTTTTATTCATTTAACTTCCTCTCTACTCTGCTTGCACTGAAGAAGTTGACTGTTTGAAATCCAACTTGATGGTCCCCTCGAACTTTCATGGCACCTTCCTATAATACCATCTTCATATTTGATCCAATTCATTAAGGCACTTTCGATTACCATTTTTCCAGTTTATCATCCAATTTCACATCTGGGTCACTGTTTTTATGCTCTAATTTGACGTTTTTCACAAATGGTGGCTTCTTCTGTGGCCTCTCCACTATGTACATGGCTCGTAGCAGCTTGCATGTCTGTATCCAGCGAAAAGGATCAATTTTGGAAGCCTGCTTCTAATTTTCAGTCTTCCAAGTTGATGGGTAGGTCTGGTAGGAGAAGAAAAGCGATTACCAAGTGCAACAGTGGGAGCTTGATGAATGGTTCTGTAATGAACAGTTCTTGGCATACTTGTTTTGGTTTTGAGCCCTGTGAGGAGTATTATAAATCCGAGGGATTGTCTGCTTCTTTTTCGTCTTTATTGGCCGAAAATGCGTTTTCTGTATTTGGGTTTAAGCAGGTGCCATTGAATCGAAGGCAGAGGAGAATGAGTTCTGCTGCTCATTCTGGTAATTTTACTTAATCAAAGGCTTATTGATTTAATCTTCATTAGTGTGATGAACTGTATTTGGTAGCTTATTGTCTAACGATTTGTGGATCGACTTAATCGACCCATTGGATTTTGGGTATATTCTATGTCTTTAGTATGTGACTATGGATGTGAAATAGCGCAAGCTGCGAAATTTGGACTGAATAATGAATTGCAATACAACTCGAAACGTTTCTGGGTATGGTTCTTTTAATTCATAAATTGTTTGTCACTACGCCAAAAAAGTATTTTCTTTTCCCATCAAATGTATATGTTTGGCTTATTTACCAAAAGCTTTTTTCAACTCTGTGTCAGTCAAACAACTTCACATAAAATGGTATTGAGGCAGTAAAATTAAAATATATTTCTTCGATTTAAATAGCTAAAGATCTGCAACTGATGCTTTAAATAACAAATGTCTCAATTCTCAAAACAACTATATGAGCTTTTGCTAATTATTTTGGGAATGATGTTAGTGTTGTGTGAGGAAAATGTGAATGAGATTTGTGCACACTGAGAGAACTACCTACTCGAACTTGTAGACATGAAGGCGTGTTATCTTTGTTTATACATATTATTCAAGATATGTTTCACTTGCCTATCAAACATTTCTAGTATATGTCTTCGAAGAATGTTTAAACTGCATGACTCCAACAATGTGATGAACTGCTTTTTGATTTGATGTACTTCTAGGCAAACCCGTGGCTGTGGCCGTGCAACCTGCAATGGAAGCCACGGCAAAGAAGAAACCTCTTATGAGGAACAGAAGAGTTGTTGTGACCGGGGT